TCTTTCATCTTTTATTTGCCTCAAAATGTGTTTATTATTATGTCCTTACTATGATATCTTGTCAACACATTGAAGATACTATTTTGGCTCGGCGCCTATGGCTCAAGTGGCTAAGGCGCCAGCCACATACACCTAAGGGGGCGGGTTCGAATCCAGCCTGGGCCCACCAAACAACAATGACAGCTGCAACCAAAAAAAAGTAGCCGGGAGCTGTGGCGGGTGCCTGTGGTCCCAGCTACTTGGGAGGCTAAGGCAGGAGACTCGCTTGAGCCCAGGAGTTGGAGGTTGCTGTGAGCTGTGATGCCATGGCACTGTACCCAGAGGGACAGCTTGAGGCTCTGTCTAAAAAAAAAAAGAAGATACTATTTTATTGTTTTCTAGATACGATAGTTGCTATTGATGAGTCATGGGAAAAATAATTGTGGCTTCCTTAAAAGTAATTTGTCTTTTGTTTCCTCTGCATGTAATTTCTTTTTATCTTTGGTGTTCTGTAAGTTCACTCTGATGTGCCTAGCTATGTATGCCTTTCAATTTATCCTGCAATATATTGGGATTCTTGAATCTATAGCCTTTCATCATTTCTGGGCAGTTGTCATCCATTACTTATATGCATTTAATAGAAAATAAGAATAATTGATAATAAGTGATCAAAGCTTAGTTAAACTCAAGAAAATAGAAAAAAGAAAAGCAGTAAGCTAGAAAACTAACAGCAGACATTAAGAAAATAAAAATAATTAAAATAGGGCCAGGCCCTGTGGCTCATGCCTATCATCCTAACACTCTGGGAGGCCAAGGTAGGTGGATTGCCTGAGCTTAGGAGTTGGAGACCAGCCTGAGCAAGAGCAAGACCCCATCTCTAAAAATAGCTGGGTGTTATGGTGGGTGCCTGGAGTCCCAGTTACTTGGGAAGCTGAGGCAAGAGAATCGTTTCATCCTGAGAGTTTGAGACTGTTATGAGTTATGATGCCATGGCACTCTACCAAGGGTGACAAAGTAAGACTCTGTCTCAAAAATAAAAAAAATAAAATCCAAGAGTATTCAGAACTGGCTTTTTGAAAAGAATAACAAAATATGCAAATCTCTAGCAATAATGATAAAGAAAAGAAAAGAGAAGGCACAAGTTAGTAATCTTAAAATGAAAAGAGATGGATAAATACAGATGTAGTCAAATTTTTAAAAATTATAGCATGGTAACTTTATCCTAATATCTTTTAAGAAATGAAATGAAAATTTTCCTAGAAGAATTTAAATTGCCAAAATTAACTCAACAAAAAAATAGCAAACTTAAAGAAAACAATATCTTATTTTGGATTGGTAGTCAAAATATCTGTCCTAACTATACATAGACTTATACACACATGCATGTGCTGACACACACACAAATATACCAGAGAACAAAAGGCCTCAAGCCTTATATAGACAAGTTTTATCAACTTTAAAGCATCAGTTGATTCTTTTACTATTCCATGGGGGGAAAAAAAGGAAAAGCTTAATAATTGATTTTTATGAAGCTACTATAACTTTGGTACCAACATTGAGTAAAGGATAGTATGATGAAAAATACATATAGATCAATTTCACTTAGGAACATAGAGGCAAAAATTCTAAATAAATGTTAGGAAGGTTTTTTATTTTCATCATAATCAAGGAAGAATGTAGGAAAGATTCAACATTTACGAAATCTAGCAATATATTAATATGCTAGAAAGCAATACCCCATGATTATCTCAATATATGCCAAAAGAAAAAACAATTAATACTGTTCAATACTAATAATAAGGAGAAACCCACTGGGTGGAATACAGTAGAAAAAATTTTCTAAACATGGTTGTTTTTATCAACTGAAACCTCAGAGCATTAATTGTTCTTTGCAGGGAAACTTTTAAAACTTTCTATCCTCCATTAAAAGCAAAAACAGTCCAAGGACGATCACTATTGCCCCTATTATTGAACATTGTACTTGAGGCTCTTGCACAAGCAATGAGACAAAGAATGAAAGGAAGAAGGAAGGCAGTGGGGAAGAAGGGAAACAGGTAGTATCAAGAATGCATATGGCTGCACATATCAGAAAATGACCAGTGGCTTAAACAATGAGGAATTTGTCTCATGCACAAGAAATCAGGAAGAAAGGATGCAATGACTGGGGATGGTGGTATTGATGTGCAGAGTTGTCCTCTTTCTGCTTCATCCTCTTGCTTGCCACCTCATGGTGGTAAGATAGCTCCTACAGATCTGGACCCTACACGTACATTCCAGGCAGGAAGAGAAGAAGAAAACAGTCCCTTCCCAGTAGCCTCTGGATGAACCCATACATCTCACTGGTCCTGTGGTCACTGTTAGCTACAGGAATGCTGGGAAAGTGAACGTTTGGGGATAGGGTTAGAATTAGCTTTAGGATTAGTGATGTACTAAAAACTTAGTACGTTAAGTTAGGTTTAGTCTAATCCATTCATTAAAATTCTTTTCCTTGTCGGATATTCAATACTTTAATATTGGAGACATACTAAAAAAATTCATTGTTTCTTTTCTTTTTTTTTTTTTTTAGAGACAGAGTCTCACTTTGTTACCCTTGGTAGAGTGCCATGGCATCACAGCTCACAGCAACCTCCAGCTCTTGGGCTTAGGTGATTCTCTTGCCTCAGGCTCCCAAGTAGCTGGGATCACAGGCACCCACCACATCGCCCAGCTATTTTTTGTTGCAGTTTGGCTGGGGCTGGGTTTGAACCTGACACCCTCGGTATATGGGGCCAGCACCTTACTCACTAAGCCACAGGCGCTGCCCTGTTTCTCTTAAATTAAAACTTAACTGTGTGTCCTTGATTTTTCATTTTTTATTTCTGCTAAATTTGAGAACTTTAGGAATTGGGCATATTGTCACCCTGAAAAAATTTGGGTTCTAAAATTAGCAAGGAAGAAAGGGGAATGGCTCCTTGGTGGACAATTGTTAATAGCTGCCACAAAAGCATACAAGGTTGTCCAGAATGAAAAGATGGGGGGGGGGGTTCCTGACATTAACTCTGGCAAAATTTATCATACGGATTTTTCTAGCAGAGAAATTTAATAGCAAAATAGGTAGTGCCTTAGGATATAGTTTTGTTAAAGATGCAGACACACTCTTCAAATGCTTGTGTCTCATAAAATTCAAGGCTACATGAAGTGATAACTTAGTGGTAGCATTTCTACAGGCAACAAAGAAGATTCCTTAAAATACAGTTAACTGTGGATTAGCCAGGTCATATTATAAGTCTTTGAGATCTTCATCCTACCAAATTGTATTAAAATTTTACTAAGATACTTTAAAAGTTATGCTCACTTGAAAATTTCTCAGCTTCTATTTTGTTTCAATATGGGGATTTAGCCATAAATTTCACCTGTCTGTAGGAACCTGAAAATTAAACAGAAAGTATACCAAGTACGCCAACAACAGCAAAAACAAGTTTTACTTGTTAACTTTTGATTCAAAGCAGCCTGGGAGCTTTGGAAATTACTTCTGGAAGCAGAACATCAATTTACCTTCAGAAATGAGAGAGTGAAATCCAAGGTGGACACCAGGGCAGAAGAGTGTAGAAGTCAAGGCAAAAACTTATAGGCTTAAAATGGTGTCTTCATACATTACCACACCCTGGCCAAGGGAGAGTGAGGACTGCAGCAGATGTGAAGGGTTGCCAGAAGCCAGGGAAAACTGAGAGCTGTGAAACTGGGGTGGTTAGATGCGACAAACAAACCTTTTTGTGAAGGTAACTTTCAGTGCTAAGGCTCTGCAATTCTTCCTCCTTTTTCAAAGATGGCTGAAGATATTCCTTGTAGCCCACTTGAGGCAATCTGAAAGATGTGAGTCCTCAAAGTGAGAGTCTAAATTATATATTGATATCCTTTAGTGTGCTGGTTGTGATCAATATCTGTCAATTCCTTCTAAGACTGTTGTTATAGAATGAATGACAGAAGTGGGGATTGAGTTGATGGAATTGAATGAAAAGAAGCCTCACTTCTTTTATTCAATTAACCATTTAAATAAAATTATTTGTTTCTTTCTTGGAAAGAGTAACACGAATTTTTCTCTCCTGAGAATGTCAAACTTGGGCTATTTTTAAACAGCAGTAGGGGTTGCTTCCAGGCAACAGGAGAGGTGTGGTAAGAAAGTATCCTCTAGCATGTAGGTCCAGTCTCCTATGGACTAGGTGTATTCTCCAAAAGTTGTTACTTACAGATTTAATTAATTTACAGCAATAATCTTTATAGTGCTTTTCATTTGCATCGCTTCCCCAAGTCATTTAAGTTTTTTAGACTCATCTTTTGTTTTTGTTTTTTTTTTTTTTTTTTTTTTTTTGAGACAGAGCCTCAAGCTTTCCCCCTGGGTAGAGTGCCATGGCATTACAGCTCACAGCAACCTCCAACTCCTGGGCTCAAGCGAGTCTCTTGCCTCCGCCTCCCAAGTAGCTGGGATCACAGGCGCCCGCCACAACGCCCGGCTATTTTTTGGTTGCAGCCGTCATTGTTGTTTGGCGGGTCCGGGCTGGGGATCCGAACCCGCCACCTTAGGTGTACGTGGCTGGCGCCTTAGCCGGTTGAGCTATAGGCGCCGAGCCTAGACTCATCTTTTGTAATGGTTGCACAATAGAATAATCTATCATATGTAGCCATATTAATTACCTGTACATGAACTTAGGAATCTGATTATTCAAAGAAATCTTATAGTGAGACATTTTATAAGGCAAATATTATTCTAATTTGCCTGCTTTTAAAATTTGCCTTTTCAACTAGACAGTGGGCACAGGCAGGCTGACTTTGTATTCTGATGGAACTGTGGCCTTTCCATGCTTTTGGCTTTCCCTTTGAAGTCAGCGATCACAAACATTTCATTAAATGGATACAGGAAAGAGTGATAGTGAGCCTCTAGCAGGTGACAAAGCTATTTGACTTTCAAGGTGCAAATCCAATAGCATCTATCCAATGACTCAGCCTCTCCTGAAAAGGTAACATTGCACCACCTCCACCCACAGCGCCTCTTACTGTACCTCAGAAACCACAGCAGCCTCCAGCAGAAGTGAAGGTCATCTCTCCCAAGAAACGTCTCTCCCAAGGAGCAAAGGTATTTGTATTTCTAATTACAGAAAGAAAATTGTTCTTATTTACAGAATTGTCTGTGAGATTTTTGGTGATATACACATTGTAACATTGTACCTTTCACATAGAAATAAGTGCTATTTCAGGTGCTGCTGGGATACATTGGATTTTAAAGTGGGTAGGAGTTTATTGTATAAGTCATCTATACCACAACCTTATCAGTGGGGTTTTAAAAAATTCAATCATCTTGCATCATTGTGAGATTAGCTAAATGGCTGGGTCAATCTGTGTTGCTAGCTGGTCAGAAGTCCAGAATTCCAGGATATAACATCTATTGTTTTATATCCAAATTTGTGTTGAATAGAATATGTTATTATGATATTCTACTGAATTTCATTTGTTTTTAACCATATGAAAAGGCAAGGCTAAAAAGGCAAGATCTCGAACTTTGCACAGAAAACCTTAATGAAGAGAAGGAATTTGTATTCTTTAACCTTAGTACCTCGCAGTACAACATAGGTGATTCATCTCACAGATATTCCTGTACTTTAAAGATGCTGGACTTTTACAGCTTGATTTCCTGTGTAGATGGGCCCCAGTCCGAACTTGTGATCATTGAAACTTTTCACCACAGAAAGGAGACAGCTGGCAGTGTCTTTTCCTGGCTTACCCCTCTGTGGTCATGTTTTCAGCTGCTCTCATAAGAAAAGAAAAGAAGAGACATTGAAAAGTGGCACAGGAGAAATTAATCCTGCTGTGTCTCCCTAGTAGACTGTTACCTGTTCTTCCCAGATCGTCGTCTTTTAACACCCAAACCTCCAAGAGGTTTTTACTGTATTTTCAGCATTGGCAGGTTGTTTCCCCTTAAGAGATTTCCAGGCTATTTATGTAGCAGCGTGTCATGTGACACACCAGTTGCCATGGCAAATATTTGTGTTTCGTGAAAAATGTGGGTAAAAAAAATCAATGTAAATGGCCAAATCCCAAGACAGACAGGCCTTCAGGCAAGTGTTTGGCCAGCACCATTATTGTTTCAAATTCAGCTGTTTAACAGGCTGTGAGAAGGCCATGGGCTAATGTGCATAATGGGAACGGGTGGAGGCACCTGTTTTGATTCTCACCCTGTTGGAGCTGCTCAGGACCCACGGTTTTATAGATAACAGATCTACAGGTAATACAAATATTATGACTAGGTTTGAGCCAGGAAGTGGTTTACCTCGGAAAAAAAAAATAATAATGATGACATGTTTTCTGAATGCTAATTAGCCCTGGCTTTAATTTCCTCTGTTGACTTCTCAAAGCTTTCCCCAACTGCTGGAAGCAGTAATTTTTAATGACTTTTCCTGTGCTCCCAGATTGGTACAACATTTCTGAATTGACTCTTAAATGGTAAATTTAATTATTCATATACTTTGTGGGAGATGTCCTGGGCATGGACGTCAAAAGGCTCAGAGAAATAGTGAGCCTCCACCACCATGCAGTGTGGTGCCACATGGAGGAGGCCTTTCTCATAAATACTTCTTCACATGTGTCCCCTAGAAGTCCTACTTGGCATCTAATTGTAGTTATTTTTGTAAATATTTACTTTATCGAACTCTTTCTTTAAAGCAAACAGGGCTTGGCAAACAGAACATCTTTGTCTGGGGGGTTGAAAAGGTCTTTCTAATTATTAGCTCCTGCCTGTGTGGAAAGAGGGAACAGGCTGGCCCAGCAGGGGAAGCAGAGTGGGGGCGGGGGAGGGAGGGAGCCTTCTATTTGTCTTGTAAAATTGCCCATGAGAGTCCTTTTGATTTAAACTGTGTCTTATTCTTCATTGCAGGGGAAAGGCAGAAGGTTAAGAGGACATCATGATAAGAAGGTCTGTAATTTGTGTGACTAGTTGAAATTTGGGGTCTGTCACCTGATGTCCCTTCCTTTTGCTGGAGGGCAAAAGTATGGGAGGCCTCTTGACAGTTGGAGACTGCAGCAAAAGTTCTTTTGCGCTTCCTTTATAAAAGAAATGAGATCATGTTTTTGGAAAAAAAAATCATGGTCTCATTTAAAGTGAAAAATCCTTTTTTGCCCTCTATTGGGAATAAATTACTGCTCAGGCTTCCATCCAAACAAATGATTTAGTAGCCTCAAAAGTGTCTGAATCACATCAGTCTTCAACTTTAATCACTGACTTTCATCTTTTAAAAGTCTACTTTAAAAGGATTTAAAGGGGAAAAATAAATGCAATTGTCCCCCAGCATGTGCTTGCATGTGTACAGGCATGTGCCTGGGCACATACACATACTGCCTGTGGGATGTAGTACGGGCATGGGATTTAGCGTTAAGCTGCCCGTAACAACTGAAGTAACAAAAAATTTGGAAAAATGAAATAGTCGCCACATATGGCAATTGCATGCCAGCAAGTAATGTTCCGCAAAGCCATTCATGGGTAATAAAGCCCTGAACTTGAAACAAGAATGCACAGGATTCTCCTGTTACTAATATAGTAACTTTGAGCAAGTCACTTTACTTCTCTGTACCTCACTTTCCTCCCCTGACGAATAGGGACAAGGACTCCTTTCACATAGAGTCTTTGCAAGGATCAGGTCAGTTACTGTGTATCAAAGTGCTTTGGAACTATAATGCGCTGATTTATCATTAATCATCGGCCCATTTTTAAAAGTATCCTCTAGGCCTCCCTCTCTTGGTGATCTTAGTAAAAATTTCAGAGGAAACTTAGCTACCCTTTTCAAGGAAAAAGAGCCCACTTTTTGGATCTCCTTTTACTCCTGCAGTTTACTCCTGCAGAGCTGTGCCTAGAAAGGGCTGCATTTGTAACCATGATTGCATAGTCTTTCTGAAGCTAGACTTGTTCCCCCCAGATAAATTAATCAGTGCAATTACATCCTTTCTGTAGCTCCTGGTGACTTTTTACTGTAAGGAAATTGTAAGCTTGATTCTGCACTTCAAAACTAACATGTTCTTTAAGAATACCAAGATGTGGCTCAGCACCTGTGGCTCAAGCGGCTAAGGCGCCAGCCACATACACCTAAGGTGGCGGGTTTGAATCCCCAGCCAGGGCCCGCCAAACAACAATGATGGCTGCAACCAAAAAATGGCCAGGCGTTATGGCGGGCGCCTGTGGTCCCAGCTACTTGGGAGGCAGAGGCAGGAGATTCGCTTGAGCCCAGGAGTTGGAGGTTGCTGTGAGCGTGATGCCATGGCACTCTACCCAGGGGGATAGCTTGAGGCTCCGTCTCAAAAAAAAAAAAAAAAAAAGAATACCAAGATGTTATTTATCTGGAATATTTGTAACTACTAATGTTGATTGGGCTTGGCCTCGTACATGGCACTAAGCACTCATACCTAGAGAACCCTCACAGCAGCCACAAAACCTCTGTACTGTCATTGTCCCCAGCCCACCCATATGGTAAAGGAATACAGAGGATCCAGCTCCAGAGTTTATGCTCTCTCCCCATACCATACCATGTGAGCCAGTTTTCAAAACCAACTACTCCTGCTGCTATTACTACTGCTGCTGTCACTGCTGCTGGCACTAATGTGTATTAAGTGTTTACTCTGTGATCAGCACTTATTGAATAGAGAAAATTGCAGATCTTGTTTGTTTTTTTTTTCTTTCAATGTTAGACAGCAATTGTCACCTCTGCTGTCATATCTGCTTTTTTTGGCTCTGATTTCAACAGCCTTTTTTATCTTCTAGTTCAGTTAACCAAATAACCCAAACTCAAGAAGATGAATGTTAAGTTTGAGTCAGGCTCTGCATAGGATCCAAAGAATGAAATAAAAAAAAAAAAACTGTAGTAGAGTCTATAATAGTTATTTTTAAAAATCCAATGGGGGGATTAGAAATCCAAGCAATCTTTATTTTCAGGAATCTAGTTCAAAGATTTGAAGTTGCTAAAATTGTCTCTGTCAGCAATTAATCTTTTTATTATCTTAAGGTGGGCATATTAACAACTATCTTAAAGTCTGTTTAAGTTTAATTGCTATTTTAATAATAAAAATCTACTTTTATGGGTAAAACAAGCAAACAAACAAATGTACTCATTGTAGTACCAGAGTACAGTCTAAAGTCTTGGGTGTGTTTGGTCCTGTGGAGGAGGAAGAGGGAGAGAGGAAGGGGCTGAAAAGAAATAGGAGGGGTCTCTTAGAGAGCAAAGAAGACAAAAATTAACCAAAAAAATGTGTCCATGGTAGTCTTGATATTATTTTTTATACTCCTCTGTATGTTCAAAATCTTTCCAAAAACTTTTCCAAATTAAAGAAGAAAATCCTATTCCCTAAGCAATATCCACTTTGTAAAGCTTCCTTTGGTATAGAAAGAACAGGTTTGGGTGATAGCATGTTAATCTCAAATTTGGGGCCTCACTTCTCTTAGACATTTTTTTCATATTGTTACTTTCTTCAGTGTTTTCCTAACATACACTTTTGATCCTCTCATTAGAAAACTGTAATTATTTTATGAGTGAATCAGCTGAACTATTTTAGACAGGCAACGTGTGACACCTGGTCTCATTTTCTCTTATCTGTATAAGGAGGAGACTGGCCCAGATTGGTATTTTTAAGGTGCTTCCACATCCCCCATACTCCTCACCCCACCACCCCAAGGAAAGAGAAAAGTGGAAGCTCCAGGGCAGGGAGGTGTTCTCCAGGCCCCGCACACCCACAGCATCTGGATTATTTGTTTTATCCCTCTTTATCATCAAAGTACACGGTGTTTGAGCAAAATTGTTCCAGACTTTATAACTTTCAAAACCAAGAGGCAATATCTAACAGCAGTTTTGGCTTTAACGTCATATCTGGTAGGAGAATGAGCCTCCCTGGTTGACATCGTGCTCCAAACACCCTCTAGTCTCCTTTCTTTTCTTGCCCTAGATGATTGAAGAGAGAGTGGGTCTTATTTTGACAAGAATCAGAACTCTACTACCTGGATATGTAAGATGAGATTCAAAAGTAAGACAGGGCTATTTTTTTTTTCTTTCAGATTCACTTTCTCTCTTACATCCTCATTTAACTTACCATCTTAAAGAAAGAAGAGAAAAAAAGTACAAAAACAAAAGAAAAGCTTTAGAATCTTTTAAAACCAGTTACCATTCTCTTTAATTCATAGAAATTGCCAACTCTTTGCATTTTCAGCAAGAAACTTTTAAAATGAACTAAGAATATTTGACTTTATTTGCAAAACATTTTTTTCTTGCTATTCTTGCAAAACAACTTTTCTTATAATTGACAAAAAACTATAAAAATTGTTTCTGATCTTCACACCATTGTCTAACTGTACATTTTTATTACATATGATTAATAATTTTACTTATAAATACCAGGAAAAGGGTTAAATTATTGTCAAGCTACAAACTAATCTTTATTTTTTTACTTTGTCTCTTTCATTTACCAAATTATGACCTGATCATTCATACAAAGTTTGAAAAGTTCAGAAAGGAGAAAAAAATATGCAAAGTATTCAAGAATATTTTTCCTATAATGTCACAACCCTTTGATATTGTTTAAACTTTGGCATATCACTTGGTGATAATATACTGGATATTAAACTGTAATTTTACTCTTTTCATCTAAAAATTTATCATAAGCCTTTATATATAAGATTTAAAATTTATTTTGAAACATTTTAATGGCTACATAATATTCTGTATTAAAGATATGCCATAATTATCTTAGCCATTATGTTATTCAACATTAAACAGTAAATGTCAAATTATTAATCATATTAATAAATTATTTCTTGTCTTCTCTGATATACATAAAACTGCCATGAACATTTTTATCTTTGTTTGTAAATCTTTGAATTCAGGCTACCTCCTAGAGGTAGAACTTCCTGGTCAAAGGGTATAGACATTTTTTAATCTGAGTAGCCAAACTTTTCATTAGTACTCCAAAACTCAAACTATGCATTTGCAAATAAATTATAAGATCACAGAACGACTTTGTGCTGTGAACCCAATCCAGGTGGCTATGAGCTTAAATTTTAGTATTCACACATTCATTCATTCATTCATTCATCCAACTAATCTTTATTGACCTTTTTGCTATGTGCCAGACAGTGTACTAGGCACTGGAGATACAGCAGTGATCAAAGCAAACCAAGTCCTTGCCCTGCTGGGATTGGTATTCTAGTGAGAGGGACAGGCAATACATAGATGTTTAATACAACTGTCAAAGAATGGTGTTATAAAGAAAAATAAAGCATGATTCCTACATAGGTATAGAGAACATGACAAGGTGGAGTGTTGTAAGAATTCTGTGAGTTTTCTTTAGTGATTTTTGATGAACAGACTTAAATATCCACACATTTTTCTTTTGGAATGTCAAACTTTATGCTGGTGATTATAGCAAACCTTTTTGAGGATTGTTCTTTTTCCTACATTTTAGAGAAAATGATGAGAATATCTTTAGGCTCAGGGATCGAGGAATCCAGGCTAATTTTGATGCTCATCCTGTCAGGCTTCCTTACATGTCCTCAGCAGGCTCAGCCCCTCCATGGTAATTATCCCAAGTGGTTCCTAACCATGTTACAGAGAATACGGGAGGGATAACAGAAAAGATGACCTTGATGCAGCAGCAAAATAAAGTGGGCCTCTAGAAAAAGAAATGTCACATTTGACTGAAAATAGACCTCATCTGTTTAAAAATTTTTCCTGATTCTGTTCTGTTTGATCTTCAACCGGAATTTGATCCATTGAGTGTTTTTGTTTTGTGAGAATGCATCAAAGTGTGGGGTTTTTTTTCTCCTCGATAGTGTTTCAGAGTTCAGGAAGACTCATTTGAATAAAGATACCTTTCAAAGCAATTGCAGAAATTATTCCTAGAAAATTGCTGCTGATCTGAGTGGCCTTTACACTTAATTCT